TCTGTCTCTCTCTCTCTCTCTCTCTCTCTCTTTCCCTCTTTCTCAGACCTCCGCTGTGGACTTCGTTCCCCTGACCACTTCATTGACGATTTCATTCGATCTGAAAATTACTCTTTTGGGTACCAGTCAAACACCAATTTCACTCTGAATTCTCTGACCTGCCGGACGGCACTCTCTCGCAGACCTGAGCACAATACAGATCAATGCCTTACCTTATTTTGTGACTGCTGCCTCGCTTTGACGACTATTTTTAGTTTTTATGGATTATGGTGATTTCTATTTATTTGTCTTTCTGTCTGATGTCTACCTCACAGCGTCGTGTGACGCCCTCGCTCACCTCGGTGTCTGTGTGGAACGTGAGCTCTGTGTGGGTCTTTAATGCTGTATAAAAGTCAGAGCCACAGGCAGCCCTGATCCATGGAAATGCAATTTCTGGGGGGAAATACTTGTTCTGCTGGAATGTAGGTTATCAAGATGGAGGCAAATTAAAGGACGGGGAGGTTTTCTCTGAGCCCCAGGCTGCCTCTTGAAATTGCACAGCTCCTAAGCTACTTAAGAGAGTGTCACCATCAGAGGTGCTGCTGATGGAGCCCAGAGTTTGTCTTTAATGTGTCGCCGGTACGTTATATGGTCCCGCCTTGGAGTCACTCCAGATGAGCTGAACACCTAGCGAACAGGTGACAGGGAGCTTGACCGTGGTGATGCACACAGGACCCCCCCCACAGGTACCATCCTGCCCCCTCTCTGGAGCCCCCGGGGCACCATTGTCTCCCCTCTCTGTTCACCTCCACATAGCTGACTTCACAACCACCTCCCTGCTGTTGCAGCCACTGAAATCTCCTGATTGCTCCCTGTTGGGTGCAGTGACAGTGGAGATGAATGTGATACTGGAGGCTTGTACAGAATCAGCTGCTCCTTAAGATCAAGAAGATGAAGGAGCTGGTGGAGGGTTTCCATCATACCAGGGACTCTGTGAGACTGGGGGAAGGGGCACAGGGACGTCTGTCTGTCTCTATAGTTGCATCTGTCTGTGTCTGGCTGGCTGTCTGTGTCTGGCTGTCTGTCTGTGTCTGGCTGTCTGTCAGTCAGTCTGTCTAATTGCTGTCTATCTACCTGTATGTCTGAATTCTGTCAGTCTAATCACTGCCAGCCTGCCTACCTGTCTGTCTCTCTATCCAATTGCTGTCTGTCTGATCACTGTCCATCTGTCTGTCTGTCCGTCCATCTGTCTGTCTGTGATTCCACTCTTTCCTTCATGCATTTAACATTCTCTCTCTCTTTCCCGTCTGCTATCTCTCCTGTTATCTACACATTTCATCACCCCCCACAAACTGACGGTGCCTCATAGACGTAGCTGGGGGAG